CAACTGCCCAACGGCTGCAGCGCTGTGCCTGTCACCCTGTGGCCCCACTGCTCCTACAGCACTCTAGGGCTGTGTTTGTTCTCACATCTCTCTGGGTGTTGACAAAGTTTGTGTCTCCAACAGAAAGGTCTCAGCATGGACCATAGGAAGGTACTTGTATACTTTTAAGTAAAGAGGAGAGCTTTCCTCTACACATCGAATGTTTAACAAATGCAAGCACTGCATAATTTTAAGATGGCAGTCTTGTAATTGCTCAAATGAGAAATGTTTTTCATTTCTTCTTTCACCTAGAATAAAAATGATGGAGAAAAGAAGAGGAGTTTTTAGTGCAAAACAGTGCTCCAACTCTTGAGTCACCTTCCATTGTAGCTGTAGCAGAGCGCAGTAACCATCAATCCACTGTCATTGTCTCTGGGAGTCTGCCACCAAATCAAGAAGGGAAACAAAGCACCACAAATGAAATGCATGGCATGGCAGAGGCACAGAATACTGCAGGGCAGATGCAAGATCTCCAGTCTCACCAAAATATTTCTTCAAAAGATTTTGATGCCAGGGTCAGCTCCAGTAGTGGTAATCAATCAGAGCCAGAGCATGCTGAAAATGGTAAAGGAAAGGGTAAAAAGAACTGTCTTCAACCTAAGCTACTTTCATTTTACCATTGCGCATGTATCTTCATTCTGTTATAGTTTTGCTGCTGGGAAGTGAATTTTTGCAGGAAATAGTAGCCTACTGTCTACTTCAAATGTGTGGAAAAGGTGCAATCATCTAGTGACAAAAAATACAACTGCCAGGAAGTTTCTTGGTCTTTTGTTAGGAATTGTGATGGTTTCAATGAGGAAAAAAGTATATAAGAATGATGTTTTATACTGGACTTGAAAAGAAAGGCCCAGAACAATCTGTAATACAGAGTGTAAGGAATATTTCTTGTAGCAAGATGAAAGCATTTTGAGTGCCCTGCTTATAAGTAGAAGATGCTGTTTCTTGCACAAAACCTGATTCTCTGTAAGCTATTTAATTTGTGGGAGAAAGTGCCGTTATTGCATGTTTGGGAAACCATTGCTCCTTGTGAAGTTAATGTTTTGAAAAATGGAAGTCAAGCTGATATCAAACATTGACCTTCTTAGCTGGGTTTCACATTCATGTGATTTTGAGATTCATCCTGAGACCACCAGAGAGAAGAGGACAATAAACACAACCAACACTTGTGCACATGATGTCAGTGTATTGCTGCCTGCATTTTAACTGCTGGCAAGGCTGGATTCAAAAGCTTTTTTGTGAAAGTGACTGGCTCTTTTGCTGTTCATCAAAAATACAGATGCGTTCACTGTGCTGTAGTGCCTGAAAAACACTGAGGAAGAAAATGCTTGCCTGACTATACTCCTTGTTTTTTTCATTGCAACAGACTTCAGTTAACAATTAGCTGAATTTCCTCAAAATGCCCTGAAGGTGTGTTACTATAATTCATCTGGAAATGTTGCTCTAAAAGAATGCAATAAAATGTGTTTCGTTCAACAAAGGCAAGAGTTTGAACGAGGTCAATAGGCAGCCATCAAAAAACATATCTCTATCGATTTGTTAATTGCAGATGTATATACTTGGAGAAAAATGCAGAGAAATGCAGGCTTTTTTTTTAATTGTTGTTGTTGTTATTTCCATTTCTTTCTACTTTTTGGGGTCTTTTTCCTCCTTTATAGTGTTTAGAGGACAAAAAACCCTTCAAAATGCTCAGGGAAGAGACAGCTCCTCCAAAAAGCAGAAAACAAACCTCAAAAGATCTGTGAACATCAAAAAGAAGAATAAAAGTAGTAAGTACAGCAGCTCAGTGTGAAATAAAATGTGTGAAAGTACCATTTGTTTGAAATGAATATTAAAAAAGGTGAGTAGGAGCTAGGACGTAATAATCAGTCTTGCAAAGTTTTTTAAAGACTATATAGCTCCATAAATAGAAACATGTGGATAATTTTGGCACCTACATGAACACATTACAGTGCCTCTTTGCCTTATTTTCTGATGCAGGCAATTTATTTATGGCTGTGATTCTAAAGCAATAAGTGCACTGCTGTCGTGATCCAGTTGGAGAGTAGAGTGGACTATGGCTATACGAACCTTGAGCAGCTGGATCGTATTCAAGAATCTCCTTCCAGGAAGTGTGTCCCTACCCTACCTCCCTATGTTCACCCACACACACATTCAGTTAAACACCGGCCAGTTTTTGGGATGGATTGTGGAGCCACAGTCTCCTACTTTTATCAGCCTTCTAGGTCTGTAGGACTATGGTTCCCATAAATCCACAGAACAGATCTGAGTCTACGTGCACAACAACTAACTGGCTGGTGTTTCCAGTGCAAGGGTTCCCTTTCCCAGCATGCCAGAATTAGTGGGCTCCCATTACAGACAGGACCCGGTTTGAGGTCCTGTCCCTGGGCACCCATGGTGTAGAGAGCTGTGTGCCAAGCTGCTACACCAGGATGGATTCTGTCATGTTAGAGTAAGACAGGTCCTGGTAAGCTTTGGGTTGGGTGGGAAAGTTGCTTTGTTTTGTAACAATCTACCTTCCCACAGGAAAATGTGGGCAAAGTGGAGAGAGGGAGTCTGATCTAAAAGAACATGATAGTCATTTGCCCAAAGGTTGCAAATGGAGTTTTCAAGTGTGTAGGTATCTTTTTTGAAACATGCCTCTTGTGGTCTTGTGGCATACTATAAGAAGGCTTTTGGAATTTTCTGGTTTTGAGCGTTTTTTAATTCTAAAATCACTCCATCCCCAGTTTGCCTAATTTTGCCATACATCCTGATAGTTTTCCTTTCTTGCTGTTTTACTCCTTGTTCTCTGTTTCTTGCTCAGCCTCTAAGATTTTAAATTTTTAAATCTTCCCCTTCCATTTTGCCGTAATGAACCAAGACTTGTTTAGTATTTCTTGTAAGAAGAAGTTTCAGTGTGTTTGTGTCGGGCAAGATAGCGATAATAAACAGTAGTTGCTGTTTCTCAGCTTTGCTGCCTGCTACCTCAAAGTACATCACTAAGATTTGAGTACCTTCCCGTTCATAGAAGCCTCAGAAGGCTTGGGAACTACTGCAATGCAATAATTAACAGAAATTGTTTAACTTGCAGCTGACTTGCAAAATTTGAGTAGCACCGAGCGCATAACAGTTCTCCAAGCAAAAATGCAGGAAATCCAGAAACGCTACCGGCTGCTGAAAGCTGAGTTGGCTGCCATTGACCGGACAAAGCGTTTAAAGAAAAAAAAAAGAGGTGGAAAGTAAGTGCTGGGTACTAAAATACATCTTTAGAGAGCTAACTTGCATGTCATCTTACTAAGGTTTTTACAAGAGTTGGGTAATCTTTAGGGAGATTACTGCTGTTAGTATGTTTATGCTTACTGTTCTTCTGAAAACAGTGGATACAGTTATTTATGACCTTTAGAAGGTCCAGATCAGATACCCAATGATGATGTAAGGGGAGAAACATGAACAAGGCAGTCATTCTAGTTATTTCTGTTAAGGCAGAACTATTTTATACAGGAAACAATATACAGAAAAAAAAAAAAAAAACCTTTTCTAAGCAGCAAAGAAAGAATGGGTTTTAATAACTTTTTATTTTTTGTCAAGTTAGATACATTTCCTGTAGCATTGCCTGTGTGCTTAGGCACTTAGGATTTTCATCTTCCTTTCTCAAGCTGTTTTTCTCTGCTTCAATAAGGTGTGAGATAAGCATGTTTCCTTTATATATATTCCAAAGCTATAGTTTCAAGGATACAAGTAATATTCTAAAATTATACTTCACAAGGTTATTATTGCAGAGCTTTTTATGGATTAAATGCAAGCAAAAAGCAACATCCTTAACACTTTAGTTCCAATGCTCCTAAATCAACCAGGGTTAATTGCAAACAAGAGATAGATTCAAAAGATAGGTTCTTTTTCCATGCTTTATTTCCCTCAGTTATTATTAGAATTCACAGCTCTCCCATTGTCAGGGCCCACACATTTCGCATTCACAAATACACACGTTGCCTGTTTGTACCTGACACGAAACACAGCTTTGTATTTTACACCAAGAGCAAGGAAAAGGGACTCTATTCTGGAGAGAAGGAGTTTGTCCAGTCAAGAAAATGTGGCAAAGGGAGCTGTCTAATATTGTTTATTATCCAGGTTGGTTTTTTTTCCCATGGAATTGCTTCTTTTCATATACCCTCTGACATTAGTATTGTTGCTGTTACCATTTGGTTTTGTATCTCATTGCTGTTTCAAGTAAGTTGTTCTTATCTTAACCAGTGACCATTGCCTTTCATGTCTCCAATACTCCTCTCCAGCATGCTGCAGCAGCATGGGGGAGCAAGAGAGAACAGTGTGTAGTTTGGTAAAGTCTCAGTGGGGGCACTGAACTAGAGAGTATCATTCCTAAACCACAAAAGCCTTATTTGTGTCCCAGTGTAGGGCTTGAAGGGTTGAGATAATAACAGATCTGGCCAGTGTGAGCTGGAAACGATTTGATCTAAGCATTAGTTGTATTAGGTACAGAGCCAGTGGTCACAATGCTGCTGGGTCTACTCATGTGCGTGTGCTACCTAACTCCATGGTGGGTGGAGCATGACTGGGTGCCACCAAAGCCTCTCTATCATCCCCTCTGCAGCTAGACAGGAGAGAGAAAATATAACAAAAGGTTCATGAGCTGAGGACCAGGAGAGATCACTCACCAAATACTGTCACAGGCAAAACCAGCTAGAATTAGGGATATTAATGGAATTTATTACTAACAAAATCAGAGAAGGATAATAAGAAAAAAAACAAAAACACCTTCCTCCCACCTCTTCCACCTTCCCAGCTCTATGTCCTTCCCTTCAGCATCACAGGGAGACAGGGAATGGACAGTTCAGTTAGTTCATTGTGTGTTTCTGCTGCTGCTCAGGGAGAGGCATCCTTCTTCTGCTCCAGCATGAGGTCCCTCCCACTGGAGACAGTTCTCCATGAACTCCTCCAATGTGAGTCTATCCCGTCAACAACAGTTCTTCACAAACTGCTGCAACAGGGATTACTCTTCCACTGTGTACTTCAAGAACAGGCTGCTCTAGCATGGATCCTCCAAAGGGTCACACGTCCTGCCAGGAAATCTGCTCCAGCACGGGTTCCTCTCTCCATGGGTCTGTAGGTCCCTGCCAGGAACCTGCTTCAGCACAGGCCTCCCATGAATTCACAGCCTCTTCTTGGCATTCACCTGAGCCTGGCACTCCTCTGCAGACTGCAGGTGGATCACAACTCCCCACCTCCTTCCCCGCTTACCTTGGTGTCTGCAGAGTTGTTCCTCTCAAATATTCTTCTGCTCTTCTCTGGCCACAGTTGCATCTGTGCAAAAAGGTTTTTTTTTCCCTTCTTCTTGAATATGTTTTTGCAGAGTCATTACCGTGAGTTCTGATTGGCCCAGCCTTGTCTAGTGACACACCTGTCCTGGATCTAGCTGGCATTGTCTCTGCCAGACAGCAAGGAAGGTTCCAGCAGCCTCTTACAGAAGCCATCCCTGTATCCCTCCCAGTACCAAAATAGAAACTAAATACGTTTCCATATATGTACTGTGTACCCATTGTGTTTCTTTTTCAAAGCATGGAGAGGGATCAGGATTGCTCCGTTGCACTCTCTGATATTAGCTCATAACATGATAATATCAAGGGTCATTTGGGATCTGAATTCAGTGTTGCTCTCCTACCCTTACCTAAGGTGCTACCCTTGGGAGCCAATTATTAAAAGCATCCAGAGAGAGGAAAGAGGAGGATGATTTTCCCCAACCTTTTGCCTCCGTTTACCCCTTCATGCCTATTACAACAGCTTTTAAGAATTCTGAATTCCCTTTGGATGTTAAGGAAAGTATGTTCTTATTGCTAGGTCTGCTAGGTCTGCTCAGTGCAGTGCACACCATATTTAGAGCCAAGAAAGATTTCTAGGGAGCTTATTCAGAGATCTGCCCTGAAGTAGGATAGTAATGAGGGGCATAGAATGTAGAAGGACACGAGCCAGTGTTGGGAGGACTTCTCCAATAGTTTAGCAGTTCACCCATGAACAACTACATGGGTAGTTTAGGTTATCACTTTAACAACCTGATAAAGTGGTGAAATATGTCAAAGCTCCAGAGAGGCACGAACTTACACAATGCATTCTGTCCTGGCTACTGTTTACTGGACACTGCTCAACAGCAGACATCATTCCCAGGGGTGGAGAAAGGAAGCAGACCAGCAGGCACCATGGCCACACAAACTGCTGCTGAACCAGAGGAACAACCAGTAGCAGTCGACCCTATACAGAAAAAGAAATCCAACATATAATCAGTTGACTGCATGAGGGATGAAGAGGAAGCAGAGCCCTCAAAACAAGAGGAAGAGGCAGGGCCAGAGATAATCACCCAATCCCAGTCCTCAGGTGAGCTATGAGATATACAAATAGATTTCAGCCTCTAGTCAGGAGAGCCCCTGGTGGTCTGGCTGGTCTAATTCTGGAATGCCATGGCCCTTGATATGAAACTGGATGGCGGTGAAGCCAAGAAGCTGGGATCTCTGTCCTGGAATATGGGCATTGACAAGATGATTGGGAAGAGCACAGAAACTCTCAGCCACTGGAGACAGTTTGTGTCAAGTGTGAGGGAAAGGTATTCTCTCAAGGATGATCTTACCTGGTCTCTCAGAGGACCCTTTGCTGTGGGATTGCTGAGGGTTGAAGAACAACAGGTACTGAGGGCTACTACAACAGTGCATTGTTGGCAATACCACACCAACCAGGACTCTGTGACCCCCATGCAGGAGATGATTTGAGAGATGGAGAGCCAGGGAGTGGTCAGCAAGATCCGCTGGCCCTTTACTAGTCCTATAAGGCCAATGTGTAAGCTCAATGGAGAGTGGAGACTGACAATAGACTGTTGCCACAGGGGTGGAAACACAGCCCCGCTATTTGCCATGGGCTGATCCAGGCTGTACTAGAAAAAGGCAAGGCTCCAGAACACTTTCAGTACATCAATGATATTATATGGGGCAACACAGCAAAGGAGGTTCTTGAGAAAGGGGAGAAGAAAATCCAGATCCTCCTGAAGGCTGGTTTTGCCACAAAGCAAAGAAAACTCAATGGATCTGCCCAGGAAATTCAGCTTTTAGAAGTAAAATGGCAAGAGGGATGTCATCAGATTACAATGGATGTGGTAAACAAACAAGCAGCTATGTACCCACCAACCAGCAGAAAGCAAGCACAGGTTTTCCTAGCCCCTACAGGTTTGTGGAGGATGCATGTTATAGATTACAGTCAGATTGTAAGCCGTCTCAATATTATGTGACATGGAAGAAGAATAATTTAAAGGGGGGTCCTGAAAAATAACAGGCTTTTGAATGATCTGAACAGGAGATTCTTCATGCAGTAACCTTTGGGCCAGTCAGGATAGGAGCACATGTGAAAAATTTGCTCTACACTGCAGATAGGGAGAATAGTCTTTCCTGGAGTCTCTGGCAAAAAGTAGCCAGGGAGACTTCAGGATGACCAGCGGGGTTCTGGACTCAGAGATACAAGAGATGTATGGTGTGTTATACCCCACATGAAAAAGAGATCCTGGCAGCTTATGAAGGGTTTTGAGGTGCTTTGGAAGTGATTGGCACCCAAGCACAGCTCCTCCTGGCACCCTGACTGCCAGTGCTGGGCTGGATGTTTAAAAGAAAGTCCCTGCCACTGCCACATATCATGGCAGTGATGCTACATGGAGTAAGTGAGTTGTGATGATCACTCAGCAAGCTCAATAGGAAATACCAGTCACCTAGGAATGTTGGAAATCAAGGAAGCCAAACATTTTGGACTATCATCATCAGAGGAGGACGAAAAGGTGACGTACTGAGGAGGCTCCATTATATAATCAGCTACCAGAAAAAGGAAAACGGCCTCACCATTGACAGCTCCTGCCATATTGTTGCAGTGTGATGTCATGGTTTGCCTCAGATACCCCAGGTTCCTCCCTGATAATTCTCTGCCAGGTGTGTCAATCATCCATCCTTTCCACACCCTGACCCCTGCTGAGTGCTGTCTGTCAATCTTGGCATTCCAGAAGGGACGTCCAGTGATCGGCAGAGTTCAAAAGATGCCTCCACCTCTGGAGGACATTGGGCCATCCAGGTGCCATTTGTCCCTTAAGACTTCCCCCCCCTACCTGGTTGGTGGGATCCCTACCCCTTCCCACCCCTTCTCCCCGGGGTTAAAAGGAACAGCAGCAACACAGTTCAGGGAGTTCTGTTGGAGCTGTTGCTGGGTTCAGAGGCCTGTGGGCCAGGAATAAAGCTCTGGATCAAAGCCCTCCAGCAGAACCCGCCTCCTTTTCCTTCACCATTGCCTTGAAGCTTCTCTGCCAAAGGTAAACCTGAGCTCCTGCAAGCCTGGACTTGGCTTCAAGTGCCCAGCTGCAGCATCCAGCTAGCCAAAGGTGTCTGTGAGGTGAAAGCACCACAGTTGCTGCCTTTTGGTCAAGCAGCAGGGGCCAGACAAGGTCAGGCAAGTCCCATTTGGTTATATTGGTATTATTATTCCAATACCATATCTTGGGGATAAATCAAAAATAGGAAGCTGCTATATGGAGTACTACATGGCAAGTTGCAGAAGCTACTACACAACAAGGTGGATCAAGTAAATTTGCAGACCTGAAAGCCATCCAGATGGCTTTAGATATCACTAAACAAGAGACATGGTCAGTGCCCTTCCTCTACACTGACCACTGAACACTATGTAGGGGTGGGTGGATCAATGGAAAAATAGAAACTTTAGTAGAACAGAGGTTAACCTGTCTGGGCTGCCGAAGATTGACAAGACGTCACTACTTGGAGAGAAAAGCTGGCTGTAAAAGCACATCACATAGATGTGCTTTTACATGCAGCTGTGAGCTGGGCTACTGAAGAACATCACAACAATGGACAGGTGGATTGGGTTGCCAAGATCAAAGTGTCTCAGGTGGATCTGAACTGGGAACATAAGGGTGAATTATTTCTGGCTCATTGGGCCCATGATGCTTCAGGTCATCAGAGAAGAGATGTAACAATACAGACGGGCTCGGGACTGAGGGGTGGACTTAACCACGGACACTATCTTCCAGATTACCCTTAGCTGTGAAACATGTACTGCAATCAAGCAGGCCTAGTAAAGCCTCTGTGGTATGGGGAACAATGCCCAAAATACAAATATGGGAAGCCCTGGCTAGTTAGACTACACTTCCACAAACCAGTGAAGGCAAGTGCTATGTGCTGACAGGGGTGGAATCCACCATGGGGTGACTGGAGATGTACCCTGTGCCCAAACACCATCTTGGGCCCTGAAAAGCAAGGCCTGTGGTGATGTGGAGCCCCAGAAAAAGCTGAGTCAGACAAGACAGTGGGATTAATTTCAAAAGTAGTGTCATAGACCCCTGGGCCAGAGAGCACTGTAGAATTGAGTAGGTGTCATATTTCTTACTGTGCATCAGCCTCTGGCATGGTCAAAAAACTGTGCACAGTTTGGGAGAGCCTCAGTGGGGCACTGAACTGAGGAGTAACATTCCTAAATCATGACAATACACCAGTGCTTACTGAAGGAAAAACATTTTAACTGCTTATTAATCCTTATAACCTGTGTTTTCTTCTTCCTGTGCAGGGGCTGCTGCCACATCAAGTTCTTCACCAAATGGAATGCCAGGGGAATGCAGGTGACAGGAGGAATTGCCAAATCCCTTTGCACTTAATGGCTGCTGCAGGCCACTCTTTTTAATCAGTACTGAAAACAAAATATGAGGATCCATTAAAAGAAGCACACAAAACCAACCAACCACCCAAACCAAATACTGACTAATGTTTATAGGTTTGAATTAGATTTAAAAAAGTTACCCTGGGTTTTGAGAACCCATTAATTGGGATAAAACTGCAGTACTTTGCCATACTTAAATGTATTTTTAAATTTTGTTTAAATACATTATAAAAAAAAAAGAAAACAGCTAAAAAATTAAGTATCAGTATTAAGTACTGATGTATGAAGATTGCATTCAATCTGCTTGAAGTATTTTTTCATAATGGATTAAACAGGTATATTTATGTAT